GCAAGCAGAGAACTCCATACAAGCAGACTTAAACAGGGGCTTAAAGTAAACCATTTCAAAGGCTGGTGCAATAGAGAGCATTTGATTGTTGGCCATACTACAACCATCATTGTAAAGACTTAGTAGTGAAGGCTTTCTTTTATTGGACTATGCTATGAATTATTAGCAATGCATTTGCTGCCATCAGGGGCCAAACTTGTTAAATAGGCAGATCCTCTTCTCGCTGACAACACGCAGCAGCTATTAAAGAGCACTGTAAAGTGAGATAAAGGGTCAAGCCTGAAACGTAATGCGGGTCAGATCAGTATAATGCGGGCATGGCTGGACAACTCTCTCTGCCTATTTCTGCAAGGGGTGATCCGGGCTGCGGGGAAATGCATCAGGCACGTTCACTCATTTGAATCACTCTATCTGAAGCTTTATGGAAACTATCTTGTGCTGAAATGTTCTGATGTGTATTCAAATCTAACAAACAGGCTGTGACTTTACTCTGAATGTCATACCTCCAGATAACAGCCCAACGCTGCACAGAACTCTCACTCTTACCTCCAAGCTACTCCACCCAGATTAATCTAAAATACCCCAATCCTAAGGTCTGCAGCATCAGCCTTTCCTCTGTTGGCATGAGACAATACCTTCTGTAGCCTGCTAATCGGACACCCAATGGGAGTGTGTGTGTGTGTGTGTGTGTGTGTGTGTGGTGTGTGTGTGTGTGTGTGTGTGTGTGTGTGTGTGTGTGTGTGCGTGTGTGTTTTCCAGGCACTTATCTGCATACACAGCCCCTGTACAGAATCATAAAAAAGCCCACACAGCCAATAGGGGATTGAGGGAAGGATGAGGGAGCGGAGGATTGAGGAAGGTTAGGGCAAAATCCTTTCATTTTCTGGGGGTTTTCCTCCAAAGGCCAAGTGAACTATCTCTAACAAGCCAGGACTGAGCAGATTTCCTTTCACTTGAGCAAATGATGTTCTACTGAGGAGGGTATTGACACTGCCATCGCTTTTCAGCACCGCTTTCCTGTTCCTTTTGAAATGTGCCAAGTTCAAGGGCGAAGCTACAAAGCAGTTGGCTGTAGCAAATCTCTCCGGCTGAAGAGCATGACAGAGAGTGGCATCCCTTTCCCCTCAACACTGAGTCTGCATCAGGTTACAGGATGTGTGAAGCCACTGTCTTTCACATGTCGACCGGAACGTAACAACACGAAGGCACTTAGTGCTGCTCCCACGGGTGGACTGGTGGTACCACATCTGGGACAAACTCACTGCTGCACTCAGGGCTTTGAAGTTTTTGATAACATGGCAGGGCTTCAACCTATAGCCATAATAATTACCCTACCACATTTTGTTAAAAGCACACTGTGTTGTTCAGAGACAAATTGTTTAAATGGAACCAACCGAAAAAGACTTGTATCGCAGAGCTTCAGTCGGTAGACTACAAAACAACTAATGAAGCAAGAAATCTAGGTGTAGTGATGGACTCAGACCTGAATTTCAACAGTCACATCACAACAGTTATTAGGTCTCTAGGTCTATCACCTGAAGAACATATCTAGGATTAAAAAACTAATGTCACAACAGGATTTAGAAAAGCTTTGCTTTTATCTTCAGTAGACTCGACTACTGCAATAGTGTATTCAGGGCTGACAAAACAATCCATCAGAAAGCTGCAGCTGATTCAGAACGCTGCTGCACGTGTCCTCACTAACATTAAAAGAGTGGATCACATCAGTCCGGTTCTGCAATCTTTACACTGGCTTCCAGTCGGGCAAATACTTGATTTTAAAGTATTATTGCTAGTTTTGAAATCACTAAATGGTATTTTAACGATCTCCTGCATAATTATGAACCATCAAGGTCTTCTGGGACGGGTCTGCTCTCGGTTCCGAGAGTAAGAACAAAACATGGGAAACCAGCGTTTAGCTATTATTGTCACATCCTGGCCCTGGCTGATCGCCTCACCTGTGTATTTTCCCTCCCTCAATGAGCCTCAGCTGTCCCTAATGATCACTCCTCACCTGTGTATTTAGTCTGTGCTGTTTCCTTGGTCAGTGCCAGTTCGTCTTGTCTGTATAGCAGAAAGTGCTCCATGTTACTCTCCTGACGTAAGCTATTGTTCTAGCTGCTTAGCATTTGTACCAACCTAGTTGGTTGTTTTTTTTGTTGCTTTTTTAGTAGTTTTCCGCCAACATAGTTGGTTGTTTTTCGTTGCTTCCAGTCAGTACATTTTTTGATCATTGCCTGTTTCATTTTTACCTTTGGGATTAAAACACTTGACTAAAGACCTTTTTGCCTGGTTGTGCTCTTGAGTCCTATTTTTTGCTCGTGCCCGTACTTGTGTCTGATAATTATGCCCCGACAATCTGGAACAAACTGCCCGAAACATGCACGTCCGCAGAGACTCTTAGTATTTTTAAATCGAGACTGAAAACATATATTTTTGCCGTTGCTTTTAATTGAGCTGATCATATGCGCACCGCAGTATGCATTTTATTCATATATTGTATAACTATTGTGTTTAATTGATTATCTTTGCTTTTTAAATGCCTGTTGTAAAATGCCATTATATAATGTGTTTCTGCTGTATTTATTCTTAAATGTCTTTTATTTTAATTTTGTAAAGCACTTTGAATTGTCGCGTGCTGAAAGGTGCTATATAAATAAACGTGCCTTGCCTTGTAGAATGAGCTTTATCCACCACTAGTAAATAAACCAAGAAAATAGTGTAATATACTGTATGCAGCCTTAAAAAGTCAAAACTGAGTAACTACACTCTTAGTGAGGAATTAAGTTGAGATGTGAATTTGACCTTTTGACAGCTCACGTACTACATGCTTAAAAGCTTGCTGGTTAAGTGGTCACAGCTAGCCTAACTAGAGCTAAAAACAAAGATTACCTAACCTGATTTTACTCATCTAATCAGAAAACAATAATCTAATGAACACACAATTCAGTGTATTACCTATAAAACGGGTACTCAAATGAAGCGGTATTGTTGAAAAACAAAACCCCAGCTCTGCTAATGGTATAGGCCTATAGCTTAGTAAAGAGTAAACGTAGCTTACTCTTTGCTAACCTGCTTTCCCAGCTTTTGACTTTATAGAAGAATTTAAATGTAAACAAAATTAAGTTAAGCTACCTTTAACCCTTAAACTGTAGGTCGATTTATTGAAGTTATGTTGATATAAATGTTAAAAAGAAGAAGAAAGGCAGACACCTAGCTAAAAGGAAAATGAACATCCTTTGAATTAAACTGAAATGATCAAATTAAGCTTAAAGGCTCAAGCAAGCTGGAATTGCTAACCTTTTTTTGAAGTGACCAAAGGCAAATGTCAAACATCTTCTTTTGTTCTGGCTGTCTGCCTTTGTGGGCAGGATAAACTCAGAATTCAGAAACTGAAAAAACTATGACTGACAGACTGATAAACATTTAGACACAAAAACATCAGTTAACACTTGGGACAAAGATGCTGCCAAACAAAAGTCTTATCATTTTAAAGCAAGTTATGTTATTCTCAGATAGACACCCATTATGGGAGGCGTGTGGTGCAGTGGGTTGTGCGTTGGTGTTGGGATCAGGGGTTCAAACTAGTCAGCATGTCGTTGTGTCCCTGGGCAAGACACTTCACCCCAAATTGCTCCTGTGGGGATTGCCCACAGTATTGAGTATGTGAGTTGCTTTGGATAACAACGTCTAAAAAGTGACAATGTTACCATCGCTAAGGACACCCTACCGAGAAACCTGCATGTAGTCGCAACGAGATGAAATTCAAGATTAAAATAACCTTTCTGTTCCTTGTGAAAGCAGCATTAAAGCATTTATCTAATCTTTGTTCTGCTCTGGGTCCCCTGGGAGTTACTCAAGGACCCTATTTCAACATTTTGTTTTTAAAGCACAAAGGAGTCTGGCAGCCTTACACGAACCAGAGAAGTAAGAAAGTGAAAAGTATGTGTAGAACGGATTTGAAAATAAAAGTAAAAGAAAGAAATGGATCTCCCAAAGAGCAAAACAAACCACTGACAACCTCGCAGAGTGATCCGGCTGTGATTTAATGTCACTACAGACATTAAATCAAAACACAGAGGAAATGGTTATCGCACTTAAGTTATGGCTGTAGCATCCGGATCTATGAGTGCTTTCGTCCTTCACTGGCAGATTTCCACCTACAGAAATGCCCTAAAGCACGTAAATGAACCCGTACAGCTGTACCTAACCATGACCAACACACAGCCGTCCACATCTGGAGGACCAATGGGTGAAATCTGCATTGACAGTCATTGAGCTGCAGCTGCTGGAGAAACGTATGTCATCCATGCATTGGCTCGTGTTGTGCATGGATGGCTGCCTCTCAGTAGCTCGGGGGGATGAGGTGCATACGATTTAATGAGTCATGACACGATCACAGATCATCATCTCCAAAGGAAACTATGACCTGCGACCCTCCCATGAGACAAGACAGTGACTCCACACATTTCTGGAGAATACAATATATTATAATGCACAGGCACGTGGGATTTGTTATGAAGTGAGCACGAATACTCAGAGTGGAAAACGTTGTCTCCGTTCTTCTTAGGGGCATATGCCAGCCAGCAGGACGCACACATTAAAATGTGGGGGGAGACTATTTTCAGATAAGCTCTTGATTTGCTTCTGGGCGTTCAAAGACTGAATAATTGAAGTATGATGAGCATTTCGCTTTAACCGCAGTTGCAGCTATAAAACATGTGTCATTATCTCTCTCTAATGTCGTTTAAACATCACTTTTCCGGATTTACTAATCATTTTAGCTGCTTTGATAGAACTGCATGCTTTGGTTTGTTTGTACGGATTTGAACTAAAACGCGCACTAAGGGAGGTAGCTCGAGGTGGGATTTTGGCTTATGACCACTAAAAAGTAATATATCGAGAAAGTTCACTGACCATTCACATCCTAGTCCTAAAGTAAGGAGTATAATGCTACTTTTTTCGAGCTCAGCACCGAGTTACGGCGCAGTGTATCTTACCTTGAGCTGCGAGGAGCACCAGCAGGAGGACGTTTGTTAGTTTCCCGAGGAAATTCATCGATACATCGGCCCTTGACGGTTCTTTATGCAGATAAAGAAGATGCTTAGAGTTGAAGTCTGGTCAGTAACCCACTATAAACGTCTGAGTAGCCTAAGATTCAAGCATCATGTTGTCTTTGCGCTCCGGTGCGTGGAGAGGTTGGACTCGCGGTGCGCTCTGCCGACATGAACAACTTCTCTCGTCCCGCCTCCCCCCTCCCTCTGACCCCGCGTTACTCTCACCCACCCACTCACCCAAAGTGCCAAACCTAGCGACCTGACTCACGGTGACTCACAGGTGTTAAGTTTGGAATAAGGAAATGTTTTAAAATAGATATACCGCCAGGGGTCCCACTGCTCAAATGTCTATTTGAACCCTTGTTTTTAAAATGTGGTTTTCCTTAAATTATTAAAATGTAACTGTATTTTCACTTGTCTGATAGTTTACACTTTCTGAAAATGCGTACATACTGTATATCAAGCTCAAGACTTATCCTCACATCTACTCAATACAGCTCTAGAGAAAGATGCAGCACCCACACAATCATCACACATTTTCCCTGCTGAGCTGTAAATGACCTATTTAGTCACTTAATTGATTTTGTATGCATAACAATGCTCAAGGAAGCTTAAAGCATTAGCTGCTCTATAATAGAGTGTTGAGGGATGCAGAGTCTGCCCAATTCAAATAACAGAAAGCTAAGCATAATGCATATCTGCACACTGCACTGTCGAGCATGTAAGTCCAGACTGACAACTATACTGTATATATTCTTGAAAAAAAGAATTGCAGTCACAGGTAAACATTATAATTAATTTACTGAAACAATGTTTATATGTAGTTTCTCTCTGCGCTTCACTTTTAGTTTGAAGTTTTATTTCTTACTTTCTTACTTATTAAACCAACACATATAACAGGGTGGACAGAGATAGCTTTTAGTTGATTTCTATGTTAATAATTTATGAATCTGTTTTTATGCCTATATGGAACAAATTCACCTGCATGTCTATATGCGTAACCTATTTTAGTTTTCTGCATCATAAGATGTTTTTGTCTACTCAGTCACTCTTCTTTACCCTCTCACCTGGCACGAAAAAAAGAACATGGAGTTTATACATAGCACTAACAAAAATATATATCTGTGTGGACGTGCGCTGACATATATCTAGCTAGGGAGCTAAGAGTAAGACTAAATAGAAAGAGACAAAGATAGCTTTCTTATTTAATGACCTCTTTTGTCATGTTAGATGTTGTTTTTCCTGCTGCAGTCAGCTACTGTATCAAATAACTACATGTACAAAGTGTCTTGCATGTAAGCAGCTGCCAGCTCAGAAGCAAAACGGACAAAGACAAGTGGACGTCCTGGTCCTCAATTTTAAGCTCAATTAGTTTTGTCATTCGGGTTAGTGAAGTCAACCGAGCTTGATGTTGAGTCTCAAAGGCTGGACACTGTAGTGATTAAATGTCTCTCATGGGCCGGTAGCAACATCCAAAAGAAGAAAACAGACAAACAAGAAAGAGGAATGTAAGGTATAAGGGTGTAAAGAGAGGTTTTATAGGAGCTAAGGATGCAGAGAGGGCTTGATGGATGAAGATAACGGCATATGGACAGCTACAGTAATAGCGAGAGAGAGATACACAGCTGCAGCATGAAATGTTAAAAGCTCCAGAAGTGATGTGATGTAGTTAGAGAGCGTCACCAGAAGAGCAGAAAAACAGGGATGCACTTTGGCTGCTTGATGTGCTTCAGTGTGACAGAGCCAGTGAATCTATTTGCAGATGTTTTGGTTCAGTGAGATGCTGAGAAAAGCTGAGGAAGAGTCCCACAGGCAAGGAGTATGGAGGAACAGATTATTATTATTCACATTGTGTTACTTTTATTTTATGCCCTGACTATTACAATGTTGCTCTTCTTATACCTCTTCTCCAAGAAGCTGGCAACAAGATAGTGACAGACATTTAAACAAGCCTTCGTAACAATTAACACTTAAAAACAAAAATGTGCAGGTATTTCTCCATGGAGTTAGCTTACAAGCTAAAAGGTCAACCTGTGACCTTTGTTGTTTATTTGAATATATTTCCCTGTAAATACCTAAATGTTGGTTTTAAAGGTGTGCATTTGCTTGAATGCTACTTTAATTGTTCCGTAATAACCCGTCTTTTCAGTAATATTTAATTAACTTAGATTAAAATGGGTTTTTAAGGGGAACAAACATAGCAGACATGTGTAATTTTCTGATCTCCTGGCTATGATGGTTTAAAAGCTTGAGTCCCTCTGCTCAACAGCTCCTTATCTGCAGCTATTTGTGATGAGTTTTGATTTAATTGGGGAAGTAAAACTGGATAATGGCTTCACCTGGATTTACAAACCTCCTCAGGGCAAGAGCGTTCAAGTCATATGATTGGAGTAAGATATGATAACTGCTTATACATGCAATAAAAACTAAACATGTGAATTCTTAAAAGGAGTTGTGAAGCAATCTGAAGTGTAAGACTGTAAAGTGTGTGGTGCATTTACTTAATACTTACTATTAGGTTGAGCAGGGATATAAAATAATGAAAGTCAGCTTCACAGGTGGAGGCTGTTGCCCTGAAGTGTCACAATCAGCCCGCTGGTGATCTAGCAGAGCAAGCTAACAGATTAAAATACTCTCCCTTCTTCTTCATCACACTCTTTTTTATTTCTTCATTCAACTGCTTCTCTGTCCCTCCTTCTTTTGTCGTGTCTCACCCACCACCTAGTAGACACACTGTTAAATAACAACAGGCATCTGGTGGGACAGCTCATACAAAGCAGAAGGACCTTGAGGGCCTGATGCAGAGCAAAAGGAAAAGGGCAAGTACGGTTTTAACAGAGTGTGTGTCAGACAGGACTGTCCCGGCGTATCCACATCAACCTTGTTCACTGTTTCTCTCATGAGTCTGTGTGGGTATATCTCTCTCTCTGCCTTCTTTCTTTCCACCTTCCTTTATCACTTTGTCTGTCTTTATAAATCACACATTTTCCTGACTTTGGTTTAGATTTGTCCTAATATATTTTTGATGGCCTTAAAATAACAGAGGTCAATTGTGTTCAATCTTTTCTTCTTAAAATCAGGTGCATTGTTGTTGTTTTCTTTCTTTCTCTCTGGTCACAGTATCAATGTGTTACTTGTCACTCACACTAGTCTAGTGTTGCAGCAGGTCTGAGGAGTAACCTGTATTATTGAACATGTTGTGTCTGGCACATTTAACATTCACTTAACCGTTTGATATAAAGTTCACCTCTTTTCCATCATAGGTACATTTAAGACTTCTTGCACCAATTTTTCTTTTTTTTGGTATTTTATTATATATCTATTTTGCATTGTTGGAGGAGCTTTGGTCATACGATTTTCATTGCCATTTCTATAGCTTATGTGCATTATGACATTAAAACCTTTGCATCTTGAATCTAAGCTGCATTAATACGATTAATACAAGCTTTGCATTTCAGTTTGACTGCTAACACTGTTTTGATTTAGTATCACTGCTCTCCTTAGCCTTGTTATCAGCCACAGCTTTCATCAGTGAAAGAGCTCTGATAAACAGACTGTGCACTATCTGCCCAGCACCAGACAGCATCAAGTCTATAGCTGGGGCAACCCTGTCTCCTGGATATTACATTTCTATACAACTCATTTGCAACAACCAATACATTATTTAATTAAACGCAATGCTTAGAAGATTACGTCTTATTTTAACATAATGAGGAAATAAACAAGCAGTTAATTAACATTTCTGGCAAGTTACCATAATAGTTAATACTCTCAAATCTTGCCAAACAATATGTGCCTTATATTAACCATTTTATTGTCCTGAGTGCATGTTGGAAACTCATAGCACTTGGTTTGCATAGGAAGAGATCAATGTGTGGTATGATAAAAAAAAGTCTGCATTGATTTGAGATGCATCTTGTTCGTTGATATTAAACACAACCTCTTACAGTTACAATTGATGCATTTATCTCAAGTAATTAATACTTGACTGACACTGTGTACATTGTTGTCATAGCGATATGATTAAAATGTAATCTCAAAGGTCCTAACTGAGGGGACGTGTGCTCTTGACCCCTCTCCCCCTTTCGTTCCTTACCCTCTAACCCAATCTAAACTGCTGAGTCTTCCTCCCATGATCCCCTTCTTCTTTCTGCTCCGTCTCATCCCACCCTTCCACTGTAACCACTCGTCGACAACTCTTTTTAAAAACCTCTGAGCATCCCCTTTCCTCCTACATCACACTGTCACGCTACCCTCACTGACCCCCCCTCAACCCTGCAGCATTTACCCAGCCTTCCTCTCCTCTTCTCCTCGTCTCCCTCCTCCTCCTTCTCACTCCAGCAGACCACAGAGATTTTTACTTCCTGTTTTCCATTTATCCAGTGTCCACTATACGCAGAAAGCTTGGTCATGCTGTGGCCTTTTGCAGCCACAAGCAACTAATTAAAGTCCCTTCACTGCTCAAATCACAGTTATCTGATTAAAGCCCCTTGCTGCTAATTAAACTGACATTTCTCTGCACCATGTTTTTCCCACAAACCCTCCCACTCTCTCTCTCTCTCACTCTCACACACACGCTTCGTATAAAACAGCAACATTGCTTTATGTATTTATTCTCCTGTCCTTCTTGTTCTCTGATTACAGCAGTGTCATTTTAACTGCAGCTCGAGGGGTCAAACAGCCACAAAAAGCTTATCTGGTCCACTCATGTTTTTACTAAAAATGAAATTTGAAAGATTATCTGAACGTATTTCAGCCATCACAGATGATCTACTCGTCATCGCTTTAAGTTATTTTTAATCCATTTAAAAAGTGGTAGAAACATTTAGTTAATAGCCCTTGCAATCTTCATCTGTGTCTTTGGGCATGTGTCCGAGGGGAAAATGTAATGCTTTTCCCTTTTATGACTCTTATCAGCATTTAACAAGATATCTGCTCCTTAGAAACACATTCATGTAATTGGTAACTAAATGTGTTTGGATGGCTTTAATATTAAACCTAGCTTTTCTTTGGCCCTAACATGCATCTGATTAACTTCAGAGATTTCAGTCAGGAGATGATGATGTTGTACAAATACTATGTTGTATATAAGCAAAGTACAGCAACAATAATTTGAAGACTTTTCAAGTTGCTCATATACTGGTCCAATAATATCCCTCTGAAAATGTAAGTTAACTCAAAATCAGGTTGCTAAAATAAGATT